TGAGCCTCTCTGGAGAAGGTGATAATGGTTCTGTAGCTATAACTTTCTTTTTCAACTTTAGCTATCATATCTATTTTGTAGTCAAGTGTATCTTTTACTTCTTCTATAGTATCATCTTTAACAATAGGAGATCCATTCTTATATGGCCGACTGTTTATAAACTCTATTCTTTTCAGAGTTTTGAACCTTTTGCCGCACTCAATAAGTTTTTCTATATGCACAGATGCAGTCTCTTTTGAAAGAATTGTTATAGTTTCAATGGGGTTGGAGTCTGGATATAAAAACAACAAACTTATCAGAGTATGTACAAACTTATCACTTAGATATGATTTGTTGGTTATGCTTATTTTTATGTTCTTAATCTCATCGCACGAGCTAAAAGGACAATCTAGACTGTTGGTTATTCCAGTAAGTATCTCATTTTCTTCAAATGGCATGTTTGCCATAATGGTCAGACTCTTCTCTTTCAGGTTCAAAGAAAAGTTCATGTCATAAATCAGTGCGTCGTACACTGTTCTTCCCTTCAAAAGAGGAAACGCAACGTGTATGCTAGTAAACTCTCTCAGCTTGACTTTGCTAATGCCCAGATCGCTATAAATGTTATTGTTCGAGGAGAAGTAGGAGAGAGAAATCTCACTTCCTATCTTTTTATTCTCTGCAATAATGCTCTTCTCTTCCTCTGTGTATTCGCTGTATTTGCTTTCGTTCTGCACCTGGCTTATGTTCAAATAGTTTACATTTTTTCTAATGTTTTCGAATGAGCTTTCTTCGTACTTTTCATTGTACCCATAGAAAATGTTCAGCATTCTCAAGGTGTGCAGGCTTTTAATTCTTTTGATGAAAGTAAAATCAGGCACCCCCTTGAACACTATGTCATTCAGTGACAGACAGGCCAGAGAAGGGAGGTAAGATAGACTGGAGATGATCTGAGTATCGACCAAGCTGATCTTTTCAATTGACAGCCGAAATGACGAGTACTCTCTGGATTCAATATCCAGAGCCGACAAAAAGTGTTTTATTTCTGCCACGTCTAGTCCGCTTATCACCAGACTCTCAAGGCTGTCTATGTCTACCTTTACGCTTGTATCGCCAACTAGCTTTGTTTTTCCTTTAAAAGTTATTTCGCTCATTTTTGTGATTTTCTCCATGTCCTTAAAAGTATTCGAGTGCAAAGACACATCAATCAGAGTGACTTCTCTCACCCTGGTAAAACAGTCGAACTCTGTGAATTTAAAGTTACTTGAGGGCGCACTGTTGCATATTGTGATGTATGT